TGCAGCCCTGCTTCTCCTCCTCCTCTCCCATGGTGCTTGGCGAAGCCCTGCGGGATTGCCACGCTCCTCCACCACCACCACGCCGTTGTGCTGCTGTTGGATGGAGTCTTCCTCAACCTCTTCCTCTCTCCTTGCTGGATCAAGGCGTGCGAGACGTCACCGGGCTGTACGTGTGTTGAACGCGGAGGTGCCGTCCGTTCGGCACTAGGATCATCGGTGATCTGAATCACGACGAGTACGACTCCATCAACCCCGTTCACTTGAACGCTTCCGCTTAGCGATCTACAAGGGTATGTAGATGCACTCTCCTTCTACTAGTAGCTGGTTTCTCCATAGATAGATCTTGGTGACACGTAGGAAAATTTTGAATTTCTGCTACGTTCCCCAACAGAAACATACTCACACGAGATCTAGTTTCAAAGAGCACGCCGCCGCCATGATTCCAACGTAAAAAGGGTCTGAGTTCTGATGTTTGATTCAAAACTTTAGGCTTTTTAAAAGTTATGAAACCCAAATTAAATACATTCAAATGTGCTCACATGGGTACTTTTGCAATCTTTATTTTTATTTTATATGATACTTTTCTGAATAAGGATTAGGATTTTTCTAATATGGATTAAGGGACACAGTATTTTCAAATATGGCCGGCCACTCGGACGTCTTGTGAGTCAACAGCTACTCGCTAGACACGTCCGTAGTATTGTTGCGCCATAATACATCTTTAAAAAAAATGAAATTTACACCATCTTTTTTAAGCAAAGTGAATTCTACACAGTCGGTATGCGGAGTATCTACCTTGAGCTCATATGCTCCTGGATGGACTATATATTTGGAAAAATATAGAAAATAATTCTTAAAAAAATTGAATTTTTTGGTGGCAAACTTTTAGAAATGTTTGGAGTGCATGCAAAATTTCATCATGAAATAATATTGGTCGAAGGCATGGCAAAAAAATCGATGTTCTGAAAATGGAACTTTCAAACGCATTTTGGAGCTCTGGTTTTGTTTTTGCCGGGGCTTCCACGAATATGATTTTATGATGAATTTAAAGTTTGCAAAAAAAATCTGTTTTATTTTATATTTTTTAGGGCAATCTTTTCGTGATTTTTTGTATTTCAGTGTTTACAGTAGTAGCATTTGAGCTCGAACTGAGAAAGGCATTTTCGACACAGTAGTCCAGGTACTCTTGGACACTTGCCGCCTCATATTCTACAAGAGAAACAAATGCCAGCAGCGCCAGCTCGACGTAAGCGACGATTTCCCGCAACCGTTGCGCCCTCCGAAGGATTCCCATCATGCTCCCATGCCTCCGAATTGTCGTGTATGAAGCAACACCTTCAAGAAGGATTGGGACGACACCGACGCGGCTGCCAAACGGATCCTACGATTTCTCCTAGTATACTAGGGGAGTGGGGAAGAGGTACACCCGACGCCCTTCAAGAAGGGAGGCGGCGCCCACAGGCGTCGCCGCGTCAGTGCCGGCAAGATGCGACAAGGATTTCTCCCGACCCCCACACAACCACAACCCTGGACCAACCATCGGCTCCACCAAGCTTGCCGCCCACCAACATGCGCCAACACAGTGTTGAAGTCCTCGTCGACGTCTCACCATGGCAAATGTTGCGAGGCCGGCCAGACCAAGACGAAACAACAGTAGACGGGGGATGGCTATACCGTAGCCATGTGGGAGGAAACAGCCTCCACCGGCTCAAGCAGTAGTAGACCAGACGTAGTAGCAGGAGCACACCAGGCCAATAGCCCGGCCAGGCCCAGATCCGGCCCGTGAAGCTCCCACCGCCGTGCTGCCGCCTCCATCGCGAGTCGCTCGTCAGTCCAACTAGAGGCGACTCGTTGAAGCCTAGATCAGCCCATCTTGAACCCAGATTGAGCCCACATGGGCCTAGATCATGGCCTACAGAGCGCCACCGGTTAGGTCCCGGACGGAGCCGCCACCGCCGCCAAGTGGCCTCGCCTTTGCCTCGTCGCCACCCTGGCCTTCGTCAGAACCCCGCCGGCTAAGCTGCACCGCTGCCATGCCATGTCATCTCCTCGGCCGAACACCCGCGTTGGGAATGAATCCAAGGCGCCCACGGACGCCCGCGCCTCCGAATCCCTCCACGCAAGCACCAGAGTCAGGGGCCATCGCCGCCAGCCACCAGAGTTGCACCGCCGTGACCTTTGCCAGCACCGCGCCGCCGCTCGTGGAGCCTGTCTCGCGCCTAGCCCCGAGGAATGCGTATGAGAAACTGCCCCGCTGACACCAACGCTGGCAGGGCTTCGCCCGCCAGGGCGCTCCGGGGGTGGCGAGGGGAGGGGAGATGAGAGGAGACCGAGACCGGCGGCATTAGGTTAGCCCCGCGTCGCTCGGGGGAGCGACGCGTGGGGGGGGGGTCGTTTTTATACCTGTGCTTGGAAACATACTCACACGAGATCTAGTTTCAAAGAGCGCGCCGCCATGATTCCAACGTAAAAAGGGTCTGAGTTCCGATGTTTGATTCAAAACTTTCGGCTTTTTAAAAGTTATGAAACCCAAATTAAATACATTCAAACGTGCTCACATGGGTACTTCTGCAATCTTTATTTTTATTTTATATGATACTTTTCTGAATAAGGATTAGGATTTTTCTAATATGGATTAAGGGACACAGTATTTTCAAATATGGCCGGCCACTCGGACGTCTAGTGAGTCAACAGCTACTCGCTAGACACGTCCGTAGTATTGTTGCGCCATAATACATCTTTAAAAAAAATGAAATTTACACCATCTTTTTTAAGCAAATTGAATTCTACACAGTCGGTATGCGGAGTATCTACCTTGAGCTCATATGCTCCTGGATGGACCATATATTTGGAAAAATATAGAAAATAATTCTTAAAAAAATTGAATTTTTTGGTGGCAAACTTTTAGAAATGTTTGGAGTGCATGCAAAATTTCATCATGAAATAATATTGGTCGAAGGCATGGCAAAAAAATCGATGTTCTGAAAATGGAACTTTCAAACGCATTTTGGAGCTCTGGTTTTGTTTTTGCTGGGGCTTCCACGAATATGATTTTATGATGAATTTAAAGTTTGCCAAAAAAATCTGTTTTATTTTATATTTTTTAGGGCAATCTTTTCGTGATTTTTTGTATTTCAGTGTTTACAGTAGTAGCATTTGAGCTCGAACTGAGAAAGGCATTTTCGACACAGTAGTCCAGGTACTCTTGGACACTTGCCGCCTCATATTCTACAGCCCCCATTAGCCCGGAAGCCTTACTCTAAGATAGCTCAATAATTGTTCAAAAAAAAGATAGCCCAATAATGAAGGCCCGTTAGGTTCCCTAGCTGACCCCAATCTTTAAAGGGCCCAAGCCCCATCCGGCCCCTGGGCACCAACCACCAGTAGCTACAGAAAAATGTTCACCTCAATCTTTAATGTGGACGCGGCCTTTTTTGCGGAGCAAGGAGTTGGAGCTACGGTAGCAATTATTAGAGATGAACGAGGTATTTTCCTTGCAGCTCAATGTAAGTTTATCCCATATGTCGCGGACGCAATGACATCAGAGGCAATGGCGATGAGAGACGGACTGAACTTGGCAAATAGCCTAGGGTTCCAGCGAGTTGAAGCGGAATCCGACTCTCTAACGGTGATCAACTGCTGTTTCGGTCAGAGTACTTGGTGGGACGCGGCGGCAGTGATATTCGCGGAATGTGTGGACATCTCCACCTTGATTGGGAAGGTCAATTTTAAGCACTGTTTTCTATCAGCAAATCAAGTGGCGCATGTGCTAGCTAATTTTAGTTATTGTAATAAACTTTCTTCTAGCTGGACTGACGAGCCTCCAAATTGTCTGGTGAGCAAGTTCGTAGACGATGTATCTTTATGCATTAATCAATAAAGCTAGCCATGATGGCATTCCCTCAACAACAAAAGCAGTAGGTACAGAAAAATGTTCACCTCAACAACAAAAAAACCTACAGAAAAGTGTGCGGTCGCAGCCGAGCATTGTGGGCGTCGGCGGTCGGCAGGAAGGCCACGGGGTTACCAGGGGAGGTGCCGACAGGGATGGTCGGCGAGCCGGTGAGCAGAGGAGCTCTATGTCGCGGGGCGCCGCAGGGCGAGGAAGCAGCGAGAGGGTAGCGGACGGGAGGGGAAGGGAATGCGACGCAGGTCGTCTCCGTCTCTTTGGCATCCGGCGTTCGGTAATCTGAACATTGGACCTTTTTTCTGTGAGGTTTTATTTCTTGATTTAATCGGCTCCCATTTCAAAATGGGCCGCCCTGCTCACCTGCTTCAGCTTCACCCCGTCATGGGTCATGCCATGTGGTGTGGTGTGGTGTGGTAGCTCCCATTTAAAATGGGTGAAGAGGGGCCAACGATCATTATCTTGTCTCAGTAAACAAAAGTAGAGAGCTTGGATCTTTGTTGCTGAAGCTACCCACAATCAAATAATGTTCTCTTTCTCCCACCACCTTTTCATCTACTAACTACAATACTCAGCCGCAGCCGCCGGTGCCTTGGATGCATGCTTCCCCCTTGTGTATAGATAATGGTAACCAGCTTAAAGAAGCATTAGCGTCTTTGCTTAATTTGTCGATGCTGCTGGATCATACCATCTGGCATTTCTAATACTGAAACACAAGACCCTTGTTTTTCCCTTACCTGCTACCAGCACATTCACACAAGCATATGGTGCATATGGTATCCATTAACTCCAGCTCTATCTATCCCCATGTGAGCTGATTAAAAAAAAAATCTTCTTTTCCATGCAAGTTGAAGGAATGTCGTTTAGAGTGGTTCAAGAGGTAACCAGACCCTTCATCTTTTATTGTAGCAGCCACGATAGAATTGAACCGGCTTTCCTATAAGAAGCCCCACCGAGGCCTCTACCAAAATGTATCCATATTGCTACCTTCCTAACCTGTGCTGTCCTTCACAGTGCATCCACATAACTCCCACCACACAAGCCAACTAGCCCATCCAGCCGGCGCTCGGGACCTTCCCGACCGTCCGAGGAGATGGAGACGGCTATCGGCACAGCGGGCTGGCTTGTTGGCAAGGTGCTGAATAAGCTGTCCGATGACTTGGTGGCTGCGTATGTGGCCAGCTCTGAGCTTGGCCTCAACTCCGAGCAGATCAATACCAACCTCAAGTACATGCAAGGCCTGCTGCACGTAGCGCAGGACAGGGATGTGAGCAGCAACCCTGGCCTGCAGAGCTTGCTGGAGGACCTGAGCAAGAAGGCTGATGAGGCTGAGGACGCACTGGACGAGCTCCACTACTTCATGATCCAGGACAAGTTGGACGGCACCCAGGAGGCAGCCCCGGAGCTTGGGGATGGCATCCGCGCTCATGCTCTCCATACTGGCCATGCTGCTCGCCACACTTTCGGTAACTGGCTTCCATGCTTTTCTTGCTCACGTACACAAGATGATGATTGCGCTACTCCTATTGCTACTGCAAGTAGCCCACACAATGCAACCAAGGTTGATAGTGGTAATGATGATGGCTATGTTATGAAGTTGAAATTCGATAGAGTGGCCATGTCCAATAAAATCAAGTCAGTGATAGAGAGCATACACAACCTGTGTGATCCTGTCTCTGATTTGCTGAATAAAATCCCACACAATAATACAACTATCACACTCCAAAGGCCCCACACGGGTTCAATAGTTGCACAAGATAAACTGTATGGGAGGGGTGCCATTTTGGAGAAAACTGTAAATGCTCTGACCAATGGCACATATGATGGTGAAACACTTCCTGTTCTGCCTATTGTCGGCCCTGGGGGTATTGGAAAGACAACCTTCACCCAACACTTGTATAATGATGAAAGAATTATGAGACACTTCAATGTCAGGGTTTGGGTATGTGTCTCAACTGACTTTGATTTGCTAAACCTTACACGGCAGATACTTGGATGCATGCCTGCAATTGAAAAAGAAGAACACAAATGCACAGTTGAAACAGCCAATTTAGACCAGCTTCAGAAATCCATTGCAGAGAGACTGAAGTCCAAAAGGTTTTTAATTGTCTTGGATGATATTTGGAAATGCAACAGTGAAAGTGATTGGAATAACCTATTAGCTCCATTTAAAATGGGGGGAACAAAGGGCAACATGGTTCTTGTCACCACTAGATTTCCCTCCATAGCACATATGGTGAAAGTGAAAACAACTAATCCAGTAGAACTGCATGGTCTGGAGCCTAATGACTTCCTGGAATTCTTTGAAGCATGCATATTTGGTAATAGCAAACCTGGGCATTATGAAGACGACTTAACTGATGTTGCAAGAGATATTGCTAAGAAACTAAAGGGTTCACCACTAGCAGCCAATACAGTCGGCCGGTTATTGAGGAAAAACCTTTCTCGGGATTATTGGATTGGAGTTCTTGAAAATAATGAGTGGCAAAATACACAAAATGACGATGATATTATGTCTTCTCTGAAAATTAGCTATGATTACCTTCCTTTCCGTCTAAAAAAATGTTTTTCATATTGTTCACTCTTCCCTGAGGATTATGAGTTTGATAATTTAGAGATTACTAGATTTTGGACCGTGATAGGTATCTTAGACTCTACTTGCCGAAACAATAAGAATTATTTAGAAGAACTAGTGGAGAATGGTTTTCTTGTGAAGGGAGTTGTCAAATCTAATGATCAATACTATGTGATGCATGATTTACTGCATGAACTATCCCGTAATGTTTCATCACAAGAATGTTTCAATATAAGTAGTTTAAATTTTAGCGTTGATAACATCCCACAATCTATTCGACACTTATCAATCACCATAGAAGATATATACGATGAAAGTTTTGAAGAAGAAATGGGTAAACTGAAGGGAAGGATACACATTGGAAATTTGCGGACATTGATGATTTTTGGGTTACATAATGCAAGAGTAGCTAATATTTTTAAAGACTTGTTTGAAGAAATAAAGGGTCTCCGAGTATTATTTATAGGAATTAACACCCCAAAAACTCTGCCAAATAGCTTTTTAAAACTTATCCACCTGCAATACCTTAAGATTAGTTCACCCCGTTATAAGTTTGAAGAAATGACTTTACCTACCACATTGTCTAGACTTTACCACTTAAAATTCCTAGACCTAGAGGATTGGAATGGTAGTACAGAGTTGCCTAGAGACATTAACCATCTTGTGAATTTATGCCATTTCCATTCTTCCAAAGAACTCCATTCCCATATTCTTGAGGTCGGAAAGATGAAGTGTTTACAGGAGATAAAAGAGTTCCATGTTAAGAAAGAGGTTGTTGGCTTTGAATTGAGTGAGCTGGCGGAATTGGCAGAGCTAGGAGGAGAGCTCCGCATATGTAATCTTGACACTGTGACATCCAAAGGAGAAGCTAGTGCTGCTAAACTGAAGAATAAAAAGAATCTAAAAGGGCTGGAATTAGTTTGGGGTACAAAGCACCAAACCATAAATGATGATGTTCTTGATGGTCTTCAACCACACCCTAATCTTAGGGTGCTTGGCATTATAAATCCTGGTGTTGCTCCTTGTCCTAGATGGTTGTGTGGTGACAGTAGCACAAAAAGGTTGGAAGCTCTTCATCTAGAGGGTCTATCTTGGGGTACTCTTCCACCTTTTGAGAGGCTACGACACCTCACCAGTCTCACTTTGAACAATATTGTTGGGATGAGTGTGTTTGGGCCTGGCTTTAGTGGTGTTACAGAAAAAAGCTTCATGCACTTGACGGCAATTGTGTTTGAAAATATGCCAGGACTTGTCAAGTGGGTCGGGGAGCCTAATAGCCCTCTGTTTTCAAGGCTTGAAAGCATCAAGTTTGAACGTTGTCCCTTGCTTTGCTCGTTTCCCTTCTTGGAGTGCTCTAACCATTTTACCAACCTGTGTAGTCTTCATATTGATAACTGCCCTGAGTTGTCTCAGTTCCCACCCATGCCTCACACTTCCACAGTAACATATATTCTTGTGAAAAATGATGGGTCAAGGCTATTATATGATGGTAAAGTATTGAGCATTGAAGGGTATACCTTGGCTTTGGCTTTCCACAATATGAATAAAGTAGAGGCTATGTATATTACAGATGTGTCACACATTTTGTTTTCGGACCTCCAAAATCTAAATTCATTGAGAAGTATACATGTCGATAGATGCGACGGCATGTTTTCTGCAGAACATGATGACAGTGTTGTCCTCCCTTCAGTTCAGAATCTTGGTATAGAGGAATTATGTATTACTGGAGAAGTGTTTTCAAAGGTTTTGATGTGTTTCCCAGCTCTCTCCCAGCTTACCATCAAGGACTGTGAGGGTCTTGAATTTCTGCCTGTGGAGGATGGAGGACTCTCACACCTCAGGATGCTCCAATCATTAAAAATATGGGGTTGTCGGAAGATGTTCTCTCGGTGGCCCAAGGGAGAAGTAGGTGGTGGAGATCATGTCATCAAGCCTTTCCCTACTTCCCTCAAGGAACTTGATATTTCCTTCATGTCAAGCATGCAGTCAATGGGTCTGCTCTCAAACCTCACGTCTCTCACAAATCTAAGGCTGGTAAGTTGTGAAGAATTAACAATGGATGGCTTCAATCCTCTCATCACAGTCAACCTCAAGAAACTGACCGTAGATGCTATGCATGATGGACAAGGGTACATCTCTATAGTAGGGGATCTGCTGTCAGAGATTGCAAGTAGCAAATTAATGCACAGAGGTTCGTTCCAGCTGGAAGAAATTGTGGTGGATAGCATCTCGGCAGTGCTTACTGCTCCTGTTTGCAGCCATCTTGCCGCTAGCCTCCACACATTGACGTTCAGTAATGATGAAAGGGCGACAACCTTTACAGAAGAGCAAGAGCAAGCACTGCAGCTCCTCACCTCCCTCAAATATCTAGAATTTCGAGACTGCCATAATCTGCAGTCCCTCCCTCAAGGATTACGTGGCCTTTCTTCTCTCAAGGCACTACGAATCTTCATTTGTACGGAAATCCTATGCCTGCCGCCCAAGGAGGGCCTCCCAACCTCACTGGGAAATCTGAACCTATGGCGTTGTGGTTCTGAGCTAACTGAGCAAGCCAGAAGACTGAAAGAAAGTGACACATGGTTTTCTGTGACAGGATCAGGTACATAACCCACTCCAATCTTAATTTGATTTGAGGTGATGCCTGCCTTCTAGTAACATGTTTCAATTGCAGGGCTGGGATTATAGTATATACTCCTGAACTAAACCAGGGAGGAGCAGCGAGAGCGCTGGATGGGAATCTTGGCCACTCCCTCTCGGATCTGGGGGTTTCCCTGCTCCCCTCCCCTCTCTCTCCCAGCGCCGCCGATGGGGCACGAGGGCGGCGGTGGAGCGGAACTATGGCGGCCAGCCGGGGATCGTTGAGGGGTTGCACAATCGTAGTGAGCTGGTCGATATCCGGCCCGACCACATGAACCACATCATCTCATTCCTTGGATGATAAGTGGGCAACAGGTACATACTTATCATCCTGGCACTTGCTTCTATTCATTAGAGACATGAGCAGAACTCAGATTGGCAAAGAATATGGTCCCCGAGTTCCCTTTATCGGAACTATGTTCCTCTTTATTTTGTTTCCGAATTGGTCAGGTGCTTTCTTACCAAATCTCTTGCTCTCTTGTGCATTAATGCATTGATAATCTTCTTCGGACTTTTGGATAGACTTCTTAAGAAACATGTACGTAACCACCTCCAGTGTTAATTTGAGGTGGTGCTTCCCCACTTGCATAGCCTCTGCGACATGACGGGCTACATGTTTCGATTGTAGGTTGGTAGATGTGCCTTTTCAGCGTTGGGGAGCTAGCTAGGTGCACTATATTAGGATCACGCATTGAAGTCAAACTGCCGGTAAGTACAAAAAACCAGCATTTGGTCCTTGGTTTATTCCTCCATTCACACACTTCAGCGCTTACACATTGTAACTCATGGGAACACATATTTTTCTTTTCTACAAGCTGGAGTATTGATTTCCTAAACAATTTTGCTACAACGTACTATTTCTCCAAGCTGCATGATTTCCCTTCCGTGAAATGTGGTCGAGTAGGAATTTGCTAGCTGGAAGACTAAGGCAATACACACTGCAAACTTTTTTTCTGTACTGAACAATGGAGCATGTGACAGCAGGTTTAACCATTCTGTTGGTAGATGATTTCATTCTGCAAACTGTGCCTTATCTGGCAAGAAACAACACTTCTGACGGTAGCTCTCTGACGATTTCAACGTTGCAACAATATCAAATAAAAAAGGAGGTAAGAGACTATCTTCGTACAGAGCATTCCAATGTTGCGAGCTTTACTTTTATGAAATGATGTTCTAATTATGATGTTCCTTCTTGCAGGAAAATCCTGAATGTGTAGGTATGTTTGTGATACACACTATGTGACGTTTGTTCTTCATCAGTCCTATATCAAGTAAAAAAGGAGGTACGAGACCCTATCTTTGTCGTGTCACGTACTATTAGGCGATTGTAATGTTTTATTAACGTTTGGAACACTACAGGTTCTGTACTTGACTTCCATGGGTCAATTGCCAATTCATTTCTGCACCCATTGATCGGGACAAGTGTCCAAACATGGTATCCTATTCATTATTCTGAAGCTTAAGACATGGTATCCTATTCCGTGTCAGGACTTGCGACAAATGCCGGTGCATGTCAGTTTTGACATATTTATTGCATATGCCGGTGCATGTCATTTATGCCCTAAACTGACGAAGTGCAATTATTCAGATTCTGTTGAACAATTGCAATCAGTTAGCAATTTTTCATTGAGGACATAGCTCCTCCATCCAAGAAATAACAACAATGGAGGAATTTCTGAAGCAGCAACTCCAGAAAGGTCAGTTGGCCGTTCTGTCCATCAAAAGTGGCCATCCCCTGTTCCATATGCTGGCCTTTTGGGTTTGCATCGCTTTGACTTGTGAAATTGGTGTGATCATCCAGGTTTTCCGCTAACTGTGCTCCCTATTGGCGAAGCCAAACAAGGCATTCTCATGATTAGTTCATGGATGCTCCGGCCCATAGGTAGCACAATATTATTCATGGAGCATCTATGCAGTAAATTCGTCCAGTTCGCCGTGAACCAAAACAAGGTGCTTTACTGATATGCAATAATGTTTAGTCTAATTCCCATGAAATCATCATTGCCTTTATTAATTCAGTGCCCTATTTTCTTCAGCTCACAAGGAGGAACATTCATCGAAACATACTGATATGCAATAATATTTACTCTGAAGCTTAAATTGGTGGTATCATATTCTGTGTCCAGGGCTCCAGGCTCCGTGGTTGATGTTGGTATGCAGTACCTGTTTTCACACAATTGACTTTTGGTGCTATAATTTCGGTTCTGCTGCTAACTCATGAATAAATTGAATCTTTCTTCTGCTATACAGTGGAGAGTGGCAAGCGCTTGTATGTTTACACAACAAATCCCCGATGCTGACGATTGATGATATAACCACATCGTGTGCCTTTGGTATGCCCTCCCGCTAGCCGTGTGGTCTGCTACTCCCCTGTAGTCTCAACTCATTCTTTGACCTCCGCATGCATCGCCCAGATGCAGAGGCCGGGGGTCCTCCTCCTTTTCTAAAGAAATAATCTTCGTCTTCGGCCCTTTTCGAAAAAAACTTCGTCTTCGGCAGGGCATGTACCCACATCACTGCCGTAATTTGGATGCTTGTATGTACTTTAGTTTTGACATCTTGACCTCCTATGCTTTGATTCCGTCCGAAAGATTCAACGTGCCAGATCCTGTTGTTACCTCACGAACAAACTGAATCTTTGCACTGCACCTATACTCGTGGGTTGCTCGAACTTGTCCATTTTCTGACCTCAGTATTTCACTTAATCTCCAGACAATTGCATCTGAAGGTCAATTGTTCCTCTCGCAGTTAGCAGCTTTGCATACAGAACAACTGCAACAAGGTGTGTTCTAAAGGAGCTGCACTGACCACAATTCCCAGAGGTCAGTTGGTCATTCTTTCCATTAAAAAGTGGCAATCCCCTTTGCCATCTGCTGGATTCTTTGACTTGCATTGCATTAACTTGTGAACTTGGTTTAATCATTCAGGTTTTCCTCTCAATTTACTAAGCAGAGCCCTGAAAAAAAGATCATGATTCAAGACTGCTTTGGAGTAATTGCACTGGGAACTCGGTCAGCAAGTCCACCATTAAGCAAATTAAGCTACTCTACTGCTATATGCAGGAGTGTTTTCTCTTTTCCGATGAAATCACCATTGCCTTAATTCTGTTTCTCTTCTTCTTCAGGCCACAAGGAGGAGCGACGCGCTCGCTGTGGCCTCCTTCTTCCTAACCGGTGAATCAGGCCACCCTCCCGTCCCTCGCTGACGTGTTGCACTCCATGGTCTGTGACTGCATTATAACCAACTCAAAGTTAGCAGCTTTGCATTCAGAGCAACTGCAACAACGGTGTGTTCTGAAGGAGCTGCGCTGACCACAATTCCCAGAGGTCAGGTGATTTAGCATTCAGGTTTACCTCTCATTGTACTAACAAGAGGGAAGTATGGATGGAGCAATTGCACTGGGAACTCGGCCAGCAGGTCCACCATTAATAAGCAAATTAAGGTGCTGTAGTGCAATATGCAGGGGTATTTGTTGTTTTCCCGTGAAATCACCGTTGCGTTCATCACCATTGCCTTAATTCGTCTTCTCTTCTTCAGTTCATAAGGAGGAACGACACACTCGCTGTGGCCTGCTTCTTCCAGACCGGCAAACCAGGCCACCCTCCTGTCCCTCGCTGATGTGTTGTGCTCCACGGTCTGTGACTGCATTATAACCAACTCAAAGTCGTGACTCTGCATTCAAAGTTGTGCTCCACGGTCCATTTTTCTGACCTTAACTTCTTCATTACTCGGGTTCTGCAGGACAATTGCAACCACCCGGGACTGTGAGCTCTTGCGGTTGTCAATTTTGCTTTTAGACCTAAGCTCTTCCATCCAAATAATAATAGCAATGGAAGAACTTCTGAAGGTGCAATTCTAGAAAGGTCAGTTGGCCGTTCTGTCAGTCAAAGGTGGCAATCCTCTGTTCCACATGCAGGTTTTTTGGATTTGTATCACATATTTGCGTTGACTTGTGAACTTGTTGTAATCATCCCGGTTCTCCACCAAATGTGCTCCCTATTGGGGTGGCTTGTGATGCCACTTGATCGATCGATGCTAACCTCATCATCTGCCTCTGGTGTGCCCACCCGCTAGCTGTGTGCTCTGCTACTCTCTGTAGTCCCAACTCAGTACGTTGACCTCGCCCTTTGGCACAACATGTACGCACGTCATCGGAGTAATATGAGCCTCCATGAAGCAAATGAAGGTAAGCCTGACTGATGCGCGACAGTATCTCTTGTGCTTTCTCATTAAATATTTGCCTTGATTTCAGTAGTTCTTTTTCTATCTTCAGTCCCTACAGTATGAACAGCTAGTCCCTACAGTAGGAACAACTATCTGGTCATATATTCTGATGTTCAAAGTGGTATCATGTTCCATGTACAGGAATCCCTGACCAATGCTGGTACGTATTGTATCTGTTTTAACGGAATTACTTCATATGCTTTAATTTCGTCCGAAAGATTTTAGTACACTAGATCCTTCTGTTACCTTGTGAATAAACTGAATTTTGCTACTGGCAACTAGCAGCCTAACATGTTCTCTACGTGATGTAATTTACAGTGGAGCGGCAACTGCTTCTATGTGTACGACACCCTCGATGTCCACCGCGTCGTGTTCCTCTGGCGTGTTCACCCTGCGCGCTAGCTCTGCCCCCCGCCTCGTACATCAACAACCTCACCATCTTCAACTCCGGCACTGCCTGGCCCCACATCGCCAGCGTAATTTGTGGCCAACACCGAGCGGCCTGTCCATCTCTTATTCATGCTCATCCTCCACGCCATGATTTTCTGTGCAAGCAGCAGCTAGCACATGCTAATTTAGCTCCAACGGCGTGACATTGATACACTTTCAGTGCAGCCGTTACATAAACAAGACTTCACATGCATGAAAATTGATCGCCACGTTCCTTGCTAAAGAAGGCACGGCGGTTCATCATGTAGACACTAAATATATATTATGTATGTAACACCGAGACACCAAGACATCAAGAAATGTGTCTTGTTTGAACAGCTTGGCAAATCTTACAGAGCCATTCTTGAACTACATGTCCTCCTTCTCTGTTTGAATACTAGGAAGACGCCATGAAGGCAACAGAATGTTCAAAACAGGAGAGTAGTCGCTATCCATGATGTTAGACTAAGTATATAATAGATATACGTGTTGTAACGTATCCTGTATTTGTACGATTCCCTTTTATAAATATATGACAGCCGTACCCATCAAGGATATCGAGCATTGTTCCAAACCCTAGTTTGTTTAACATGGTATCAGACGACGCGTTGGATCCGCGCCGTGCTTCCGCCTCCTCTGCTGCCGCCGCCACGTCGGCCTCCGCCGTCGTACCGGCTCCCTCGACCCTGGCGATGGAATCGCCCTTCATGGCGTGCACTCCGCTCGCCCGGGCTCGTCCGACAGCATCGGGCTCGCGTCAAACGGCGCTGCCCCGATCTCCCGTACTGGATCCATCAGAGCAATCCCGTGATACACAGCAGCCCTACGGCGCTCCTACCCAGCAGCAATATGGCGCCTCTACCCAGCAGCAGCAGTACGGCGCTCCGGTGCCATACGGCGCTGCTACCAGTGGCGGAGCCAGGATTTTCGACATGGGTATGCAGAGTCAAAAAATAATTTTCTACACAACAATGTATGACTTAAAAAAGTTCATAATAATAACAACAAAACTATA